TAATTCAGACATGTTCTCAATAAATTCAGCCATTACTGACAGATTCCTCTCTGCGCAGAAGGGGGTCTTGGAGGGTACTGAAAAGGACCTTGAGGTAGGGAGAGTTGGGGAGAAGGAGCAGAACATAGGGCTGGAACTAACAGACAGAATCCTCCTGTACCCCCATACCTCCCCACACCTATGATCTGCCATTTGCCTGAGAGGGAACCCCAGTGCTCACTACTGTAGAGCTTAGAGGGTGCCTAGTGTCCAAACACTGTAGGCAGGAGTGGTGACCTACTGCAGAAGTTTGCAGAGGTTTGGATATCTTGGTAGATAGACATAGTCATGGTACCAGCGTGTGGGCAGATGTTCAGTAGAGAACTCCAGAGGCAGGCTACACATGCCATCTATGGAACAGTGGCGAAGTGCACCAAATGTAAAAAGAGAGGGGTAGCCCCAATGTTAACCCAGGGATTAGCCCAGACTTACCAATCCTCAGAGCAGCAGTGACCACACAAAATAGCGTAGTCATTTAAATGGGTACCGGGCACCACTGACTGTATAAAACCCTATGGCAACTGCTCTAAGTGCCAAGGTGAGTGTCCCATGCAGGATCTAGTGCTCTGAAAACATTACAGGTCAGCCCCACATCTTCCTTCAAGTTAAGTCTGAATACAGTCTACCAAGGAGTAAAACCGATCCATATAGCAGCCTAGGAAGACTTTCTAGAAGAGTCCTGAGCAAAGAAAATGCAGAACAAATATGTACTTTTCTCGGAGTGCCCATTGCATAAGGACACTAGGAAAAAATGAGGCACCTGGCAGTGCATAACCCATCCAGTCTAGAATTAACACTCTGTGTCCTGTGCTGTACAATCAAGAAACTGGGAACTTAGGGAGAATATTTAGCAAAAAACAGCCGTGTTTTTATTCTGGTTTGGGTGCCTAAAGTTTATCTGTTGACACTCATTGTCCATTAAATCACAATGAATCTGTCACCCATTTTAACCTCTTAAACTTGAAAGTCCTGAATAAATCGCAGACACCACACAGGGCTGATTACTTTATTTGCCCGAAAACCCTTTGTATGCCCCATTTGCATAGTATCTAATAGGATCAGACTTCAAGGCCATACATATGCATGCACACTGTCCTAAAAAAGTGCCCATAACCGACTTACCATGCCTTGTTCTGTACTGGGTCTCTGCTTGCTCAAGTCACGGCTAACTCTCTAAAGACTGCTGCCTAGTGGGGGAAATATTCAAGAAGCAGGGAGATGCATGCCTGCACTTTAGGTTCTCAGGTGCAGATTCCTTTCCAGCAAGCACCACAGTATGGACCATCACCAACTCTCACTCCAAATCTCATGAGAGTAGCAGTCATAGGCATCAGTTCCTAACACACCGCATATACCGTTATAAGGCTGTAGGCACACTCACAGGTCAGGAAGTACACGATTTTTCAGGATGAATTCAAGACAAAATTTTCAGGGTAGTTTAAGCTGGCCATACACCTATAGATGACCTATAGATGATCTGCAGATTTTCTATGGTCAGATGGAAAAATGTGCAACAGATTCCTCCATCTACGCTAAACTGTGTGGATGGAGGAATCTTGCTAGTGGACCCCCACTGGCTGTCAAACCACTTGAACAATGCCTGCATCCAATCAGATTGTTCTGGTATGTTGACAGCCAACGGTGCTGACTAGCAAGATACTGAAGCTTGGTCCAGTGGGCGATTCCTCCATCCACACAGTTTAGCAGAGACGGAGGAATCTGTTGCACATTTTTCCATCTGACCATAGAAAATCTATAAGTGTATGGCCAGCCTTAATACACAATTAACATTTCTTGATGTTCCGTATTTTATAGACAACACCCAACCTGCTAGGTTTCATGCCTTAGGACAACTACAAACTTGCCAGTCTGATCCACCTTTTTGTAGACGTTGTCAATAAGAGTGGTAGGCAGCGCGGAGGGAGCGTCAACACTGAGCATTAGCACGTCCAGTCACTGTGCACAGCGGAAGTGTGCAGCTAAGAGTGACAATGGGGTTACATACAGCCAATGCAAAGACAGCATTGTCGCCCCTTTTTCAGAAGTGCCTGGGGACAGAATTTTATATACATGTTTAGTGGAAATGTTAGCAAAATGAAGAAAGAGACCGGCAAAACATTAACCAGGAGAGTGAAAGGTGAGATCTATATATATTTTTTGCTGAAGGATTTCATACATTATAACACACTGTATTAATTATAAGGTTAGCTCCCCCTTATTTTACCAATCCCATCTACAGACCTCAGATCGGCAAGCAACCTCATCTAAGGGCCTGAACCTAGGCTGGGAGAATTATCCTCACTTATCCAGTAGGCCACATCACACTGGGCATGCTTGGCAATTTTTCCATAGATCCTGAAGGAGAAACTGTACATGACGGGCCATAAATGATCAGCACACTACAGCCCCCCATCTCAGAGAAGCGCATGGAATAGCTGGCTGACCAGATGTAGACCTGACCTTGTGTGAGGTCTCCTGAACTAAGATCTCCATTCAGCACAATATATGATAGTAACTAAAAGCTTTGGTGTCCTTTGAGGGAAGAATTTCAGAAACCAAGAAGAGATCACTGAAAATGAACGTACTGCCCCAGATGTTTAACACTGAATGACATTTTATTTTTTAGAATAAAAACCAGCATTTGCAATAGCCAGATCGCAAGGCATCAATTATCCTGTGTTGATGGCGCATCTAAAAAAAAAAAAAGAAGAAGGTTCACTGGAGCCCACACGTAGCCCCCTCAATGTCATGTAATAAATGTGTGCAAATACAGTCATTAGTATTCGCACAGTCACAATGGAAGGTACACTGAGAGAATATGTGAAGACCAACTGAGAAAATGCTGATCTGGTTTCTCCTGTAACAATGACTCAGTCCAAATAATAAACTATGTACAATGCCTGCCAATCAACACAAAAACACGTTTCTTAAGTCAGGATCACGCCAATGTATTGCGCTCAGCAAGCGATCATGCAGGAGGCAGAGAATTCACAAAGGGAATTCTGTGGACATTGCGGCCCATGTTAAAGTATTGCTTGCAGAATACGCACAAAGCCATGCAGAGTTCCACCACAGCGGCAGAACCCCAGTTTTTAGTACAAAGCTGCAAGACACTAACATTCCCTCCTCGTCGCCATGACTGCCTGAACAATCAATACAATGCTAGACTTCACTCTGGTACAAGCCACGTTCCTCAACACTAGACATCTGTACGCAGAACACTTAACCCCACTAAGAAGTCCGAATAGAAGTATTGTATTTCCCGGCCCACAGCAACCAGATCCAAACTTGTACTGGAAAATGATATGGAGGACTTGGATGTGGTTGCCGTAGAGTAATACAGACATTTCTCATTTCAGACACTTTGAAGTATGAAACCGATTGCATTAAAAGGACCAGTAAATCTAATTCTGTTCACAAAAAAGTGCAGATGAAAGCGTTCACAAGACTTGTAACAGTTTCAGGTTTCTAGATGTTAGAATTCTGATTATTTTATTGCTGTACCTTGCCGAGTTCCTCTCTGTTATGTTGTTATAAAATACTGTGGGGAAAAGAGGGAATCGATTATTTAATAGATTTGCTTTTAAAAGAACTCCGGGTATATGAAATCCTAACCCCTGCAGTGGGGCTACCACCGCGCTGCAAGGGTTAAGTATCGGACCCGGCTGGGTGCTAGTCCGGTCCCTCGCTAGTCCAGTCCCTCGCTCCCCCTGGAATGTCCCTCACTGGAGCTGTATTGCATGTGATGATTTACTGGGAACATAGACCACCAGTGCAAAGCTGTAGGGACTGGTCTAGCAGCCAACCGAGTCTGAGATTCAGGTTTTGCTTTGTTACATTTGCTTCCTAGACCAAATGGGCATTTAATCCTTGCAGTACGGGGGTAGGCCCACTTCAAGAGTTAAGATTTTATATGCTCGGAGTAATCATCTTAAAGCTACACTGCCAGATAAACAGCTAAAAACACATAGAAGGGAATTGATCAAAACTGGAGCAGACAAAATCTGGGAGCAGCCGTGCATGGCAACCAATCAGCGCCTCTCTCTTATTTTCAAATCTTAACTGAACAAAGAAGCTGATTGGTTGCAATGCACGGCTGCTCCAGATTTTGATAAATTCCCCCCATAGTATATAAGCGAGAACTGCTTTGATTTTTGTTTCTGTCCACTCAGGTCTGAGACGTAAGCAGCATTGCATGACACAACCCTTTCTGGCAGGAAAGTAGAGCTGATTTTCCTCTGCTGCAGTTAAATAACACTTACAGGTCTTGTCCCTCCCCCAGTCTGCAACTGGACAGTAAAAGGAGAAGTAGCAGACTGATGAGATCTCTCTGCTCTCTTCACCTACTAGCATGCCCCTGGTTAGTGCATCAGCACTGAAGCACAACTGATTGTCTCTGTGGTTCTTCTCCCACTCCTAGCCTGTACAGGGGATTGCAACAGGCTGATGCCAAATTAAATTCGGGCACTTACCCTGCTGGCAATACATATAGTGAGGTATTAATGACCATACATTTGCATTCATTTGTCTTTTATATACACCTAGAGTTTAGCATTAAAGTGAATAACTACTAATGTATGATTAATAGAATGTAAAGAGTTTAGTTATACTTGAAGAATGGGGCTGTGATATTTGCTATCCCATACATAGACTGTGCTTTCTCCTATAGTGGAGTACAATGACTAACTGTTCCTCATTACTCCGACAGTGTTCAGTCAATGGACTTTCAATGAACACATGCTGTGTAGATGGTATATCCATCAACTGATCTTCTCTTAACAGCTGTTCAGCAAGGATGCTGATCGCACTCGCTAGCGGGAGACCCTACATATCTATATCTGATAGAAAATATATATGGCACAGCAAGAACACATATAAATGACCTTAAAATGAACTCTACAACTCAAAATGAGTACTCACCGAGTATACGAGTTTCTCTTTAACGCAATGGGGACAGACAATTCCAAATTGTGAACAGGTATATAAAGTTTGTTTGTCTTGTGACTGATGTTATCTACTCAGACCAGAAAAAACATACTTTAGGTTTATTGGTCCTTTAAATGTTTTTGTAATACAAAAATTCTAAAACACTGATAAACAGAACAAATGCAAGCAGAAGATATTCCGACAAGTCCAGATCTCCTTCTACCCGGGTATGGAATGACACGGGCAGGTAAAGCTTTAATGTCTGAGATTGTGAGATGCGACACCTTAGGGTTAAACATTTTGCATTTGCGAATATCGTAAACAAATGGCATTGATATGGGACACCCATAAAGAGAACGGTCCTTGATTAGAAACACTGGTAAAATATTAGTCTCTGCTCAGTAAATATGTAAAAATACAAAGACCTGGGTCTTTCTAGGTGTTATCTGGATATACAGAGTCACCAGAGGCAGTGTCCTCCATCTACATATGGACGGGTTGACCACAATCCTCTGAGGGTGTGAAATGGTCATTAGTCTTCAAGTGAAAGAGTCGGCACTGAATGCACGTTAGTGCACCAGAGCCCAGAAGCAGTCCTGATCATTCTAAACACAAAAGGGCTTCCAGAAAAAGAAATTACAAAAGCAGACCTGCGTCTGTCGAGCTGGAATAGCTCATAAGCAAGGTGCTGGGTCAGTACGAGTCTGTGCGTGCACCTCGTGCACAAATACAACGTCAGGTGGCATGTGCAATCTAGTCGTTATTGAGGGGGCCGCTGCAACTGAATTCTGCGCTCGGCAGCCGCTGCCAATGTACGCCTGCGGATGTTTACAGAGTCCGAAGAAATACCCTCAAAGGACGCAGTTTGTTCTGGTGACATGAGGAAGCCTTCATCTTCTGAAGTTCTATTCAGATATCTCCTGTAGGGAAAGAAGAAGAATATGTATCAGACATTCCTTTATAGCTCCAATCCAATATCCTTTATGCTGCAAAAGTCTTTCTGTATTACTTCTATCATATGCATTTGAGGAACTCTTCATGGTCTCTTGCTTCACCAGTACATAACAAAGAATAGACTACACGGTCTCTGAGATGTTATCCATATCAAATAAAAGAGAGCTGGGAGGATTGCGTTCATCAGCTTACAAAGTGCAACAAATAAATGTCACAAGAAACAAAAAAACAAACCATCGAGAGCCCATTCACACCAGGGCGGTTGCGGATTAGCGCGTCTACTGCGCTTATCTCGCAAGGGAGGTTAGGAGAGTTTTTAATTGCATTTCAGCACTGAAACGCAATTAAAGATGCCCAAAACAACGCTGATCAGCGTGGTTCCATTGAAACCTTTATGGGAGCGGCACTGATCAGCACGGCAAAAATAACCCGCACGTTCGCATGAATGGTCCCCAAAGCAATGTATGGGATCGTTCATGTTGGCGGATCCATGCGGCCGAAAAAAGTAAAGCTCAGTTTTACAAACATGATGCCCATTGCATCCTCTGCAATCATGTTCAAAGAATATTTCATAAATGTAGAATTCATTTTACAAGAGCTGATAGAGATGGATCTCTAAAACTGGACATTTTACAGAAATGAGCACACCACGGTCTTGCAACTACTCATAAACCATAGCACATGTCAAATATACAGAAAAAAGAAAATGCACCCACACAGTACAAACCTTGCTGCAAATGATCCATTTACAAGACGGCTGCCATCAAGTGGCTATAAAGGACCTAAAGGAAAAGTGATCACTTCTGCAGTTGCCTCTATGAAGATGGAGCAGAGAGACACATACACTGTTCTGCTCTGTTCCAGTTTATAAAACTCAGGATGAAAACTGGGAAATTTTTATGCATCATAAAACACTTGCAATTCTGTCAATAATCTAGGTTTTAAAATATGCCGTTGCATACTACAAACTACATACACCTCAAAAGAAAATATGCAGCATGCAAAATCTGTCCAGTCTTCAACCTGCATAAGTTTGATAAATGCCCCCTAATGTGCTGCATATAGCAATGTTTGTGTGTTTTTATCATTGCTCTCACATACTTGACTCTTCCACTAGGTGGTGCTGTTCTCTATGTGTTGTCACAGCAGAGCTTGTGCAATGACATGGTGTGACCACTTTCTAAAGTGTGTCAGAATCAGCAAACAGGCAATACAAGACACTAAATCACAGTTGTTTTTAGACAAATTACATGAAACAGATCTTGGGATGAAAGGATTGTAAATCATCTGCTGTGATATTCCCTGTGCTGACAGCCTGTTTTCAGTCCCGCCATTTAAAGTGTGCCTAAATATTAGATGTGGCAGTGGAATTAGTTTTCACTTTTAAGGCTAAGAAAATTTTCAACAAGTACAGAAACTATCAGTTGATCTTGCCGGAAATGCAGTGTCATTATCACCTCTCATGTGAGCCAAAAATAAAGCAAAATTAACTTTGATCTTTATTGTGTAAACTATTCGTCCCATGAATCCCCAATATAAATGGAGATGAACAAAGGGAAACATGTCTGCGACAAATTTGACTTCCTCCATAGATGCAGCAGAGGGGAAAAAGGGACATCATGGCAGAGGAAGTGTAATGTTTGCAGAATAACCAGGTGAAAAGAAAGAAGAAAAACTAATGTAGCCACCACATCTAAGGACTGGTAAGCTGCAACATATTACATTTTTGGTTTTGGGCTGAAAGCCCATTTCCACCTTTGCAGAGGTATTTTTAACTGCTTGAAGACCAGGTGTTTAGATCCCCTACCTGGCCAGGCCATTTTTCAGTGTTCAGCGCTGCGGTACTTTGACTGACGTTTATTCCGTCACGCAACGCTGTACTGAAATGAATTTTATACCATTTTTTGGGGACAGATAGAGCTTTCTTTTGGTGGTATTTAATCACCACTGCGGGTTTTATTTTTTACTATATTCAGGAGAAATTACTGAAAATTTTGAGAAAAAAAAGTTTTTTTTTACATTATGCTATAAAACAACTAATATTACCCACTTTTTTGGTAAAATATAAAAGATGGGACAATAGCGGGGATTTCCCGCTCGGGCGTGCCGTGTATACACGCCCAGTTACATCCAAGAAGCTCCCGGCAGGCCGTGTATACACAGCGGCTGGCCGGGAGGTAGTTAAAAAGCATATGCCAGCAATGTGCACCAAGTGTACATGAAACAGACATTGCAGGCTTTCCTGGTTTTTCCAGCAGCTGCATATGTGAGTCATGAAAATGTACATACATATACATCATCACTGCACATCTTCATTACCACAATAGATGCAAATCCCTTGCAAAGGTGGAAATGGACTTTAAGCTGGCCATAGACAGCATGACTTTGGGACAATTCCTGCCACGCCCCCCGCCTGCAGTGCGATCACCCGTAACCCAGAAAGCAGGCACTCTAGTACCTGCGTCCAGTCCAATCTGCAAAAATGCTGCAAGTGCCTGCGTTCTGGGTGTGGGCGATCGCACTGCAGGCAGGGGGCATGGCTGCGGTGCCATTGACTTCAATGCACCACCATGCTCCCTCCTGCCCTGAACGCAGGGAGCTGGCCGGCTTGCGTTCCAGAGGCTGAACACTCTGGAACGCAGACTTTGTGGTGTGAACCGGCCCTCTCTCTTGGCTGTCTCTTCTCTTGCTCTCTCTTGTTTCTATCTGCTGTATCTCTCCTGTCTGTCTTTTCTTACCTCCACTGCAGCAGCTTCCCAGGTCTCCTCAGGGCCGACGTTGCACACGGGGGAGAGGTGTCCCGTCCCTTCCTGTGTGCAGCGTCTGACACATTCAGCCGCAGGAGGACAGGACACAGGTCAGTGAGCCGATCGCCATCTACAAGTGTTCGCTTTGCGATCGACTGGCAGATCGCGATTGACCTAAAGGGCAACCCTGCCCTAGACTGATGAATGCAATAGCTGTCAGTGGAGATTCCTCTATCCATGCTGCTCACTGTTGATGGAGGAATCTATTGCTTTTCCTGAAGACAGAAAATCGAGCTCGTGCATGGCTAGCCTCAGAAACGCTTTAAAATCTTCTTACCTTCTTGCCAGGTGCATCATATCTTCTTTCCTCTGTAACAACATTCGTTGCCTCTCCTCTGCAGACTTGGAAAACCTGCTGCCTCTGGCCTCAAAATCTTCTGCCTCTGTAGCCTGGATGTCAACCTCACTGAAATCTTCAAACTCCTCCACACTTGGCGAAAGGTTCAAAGGAACTCGCTCAGTCTAGGAGAAGACACGTAACAGTGAACGTTATGGTAAAAGAAGAACAAGAGATATACTAACAAGTCCTAAAGCAGACGTTGCACTAAAATGCAAGGCCAGCTTATGTGGCTGCCCCTACCTGCTACAAGGCTTAAACTTTACCTTACTCCCAGACTTCCAGCAAGCAACCTGATGCCAGTTGGCCTTCCTGAGGAATCCTGAATAAGTTGAGTATTCTATATCCCACGAGAACACGTTCCTGTACATTGCAGTAAAGTCCTCTCTCGAGAATTGGGACCCTAAGCTTTCCCATGATCCCTGTGGGAATGCCAATAACATCAGCAGCAGGAAATGACTGGAACTTCGGAGTAAGGTAGTTTTAATGCCACACATGCAAACCTTACATGAACACTGTTAAGTGAATGTAAAGCTCAAACGTTTGACCCGTCAGGTTTTTGTTTTCTTTTTTGCTGTCTTTGTACTGTCTGGAAGATTTCACTTCCTATCCGAGAGGCACAACAGGAAGTAAGGAGGAAGTGTCTTCATAAAAAAGGGGATATCCCCTTTTGAAACTGTCACCAGAACAGGTTTCCCAAGTGGAAGATTTCCCCTCTATTCCTGTGCCACCCCAAACATTTTGGATTTCCTATCACATTTTGTACAGGAGACAGTGGTCACCAGAGCCATCTGTGAGAAATTACCCCGACAGTTAGCAACATTTTCACATTCTATCCAAAACTAAAATAAAGAAATAGGAGTTTCATACTGTACACTTTAAATGCAGAAATACATATAGTAGACAACAGTGAGAGCTCTGTGCACTCACCTATAGGAGAATGGCTTAAATCACACTTCTTTTGGTTTGCAACACAGGCAAAGTCCAAGAACGAAGGAAGATCCATTTATTTCTATGGGACTTCCCACTTGCACACCACTTTGTAGCATAATAGCAAGTAAGTTTTCCATGCGGTATTTCCATACACTGCCCTGTGGGGTCCCAATCGGGTCTATAAATTTGGACCCTCCAGTAGCACATGCCAAGGAACCTCAATGCTCATGGCAACATTCAATGTAGTGCATATTACAGTATGACTGCACCCCAAGAGACCTCTTAGGAAAGACCTATATATGCAATTTACAATTACAGATGAATTTTCATTTTATAGTTTAAATCAGAACTAAGATAATGGAGACAAAGATTTTATGTATTTTCGTATTTGCTTTGCTCACATTTCAAGAACAACGGAAAGGCATATGAAACAAACACGAAGGTATAGAGAAAAGGTGAGAATGAAATTACTACTTACAGAAAATGCTTGTAGAAGCCACAAGGGTAATCATTGGCAATACACACATAGGCATTTAAGGACAAGCTAAGCACATGCATTGTATAATACCTGCACTGAACTGCTGTTGTCTTCCTGCTCATTTGCATCTGGAGAGCTGTCAGCGGCTGGTCTGGGGTCATCTGGCCTCTGTAATATAAAATTCCTTCTTAGAAGAGCTGGAATAAGCATTGGGTAATATGATTAACTCTAATATCTGCTAGCAAAAATCATGTTGAACAGCACCTCTACCCAAGGCACTGACCTGTGTAGGAAAAGGCACTTGGATCCGTCCTTCTAAAATATTATCCGTTGTAATCTCCACTGAGCGAGTGATCTGCAGGTCCTGCAGAACCAGATGATACGGTACTTGTGGAAACATGTCTAGGACTTGTCGGGCCTGCAAAGACATTGTATTCTAATATTACAACTCATGAGCAGATGAGCATTTCCGTAAGGGGAGAAGCTTGTGTGAATAATCACCTAATGGATTCCCCAATACAGATCCCAGCTCAGCCCCTCTAGTCTCAATGTTCCTGATTCATCCTCCAGAACACAGACACTAGAATATTCTGAGAACAGATAAGTAAACCCAGAAATTCAGACTCCAAGATCTCATTGCTGGAGTCCCTGAAAAGGTGTAAGGGCTAATCTTCCCAGGGGATACTATATTTGCTAAATAACATAACATTAAACTTAAAGAACTCCGGGGTGGGGGGAATTAACCCTTGCAGTGGGGCTGCCCACCGGAATGCAAGGGTTAACTGCTAATTTTTGTCTAGATTAAAAAAAAAAAAAAGTTATACTCAACCACCGAAACCCGAAAGTCGGCTTCCTCTTAGACTGGTCCCTAGAGCCTCTCTCCCCCTCCTGCAGCAGTCGAAGGTCCAGTAAATCATCACGTCTATACATAAGGGAGAATTGATCAAAACTGGAGCAGATTTGGATTGCAACCGATCAGCTTCTATCTCTCAAATCTCAACTGAGCAAACTGAAGAGAGATGCTGACTGGTTGCCATGGGCAACTGCTCCAGATTCTATCTGCTCCAGTTTTGATAAATTCCCTTCATAGTGCATAGACGCGAGGACGCTGAGAAAGATTCCAATGCTGCAGTGTAGGAGGAGAGAGGCCGGAGGGAGAGCTGCGATAGCCGGCCAGCTCGGAGCATCGGGTGAGTAGAACTTCATTATTTTTGAACCTAGTAATAAAAAAAAAAAAAGAAGAGCATTTAACCCTTGCAGTGAGGGGGGTAGCCCAACTGCAAGAGTTAAGGAAAAGTTTTCCTGGAGTTCTTCTTTAATCCCCCTTAATGGCAAAAGTTCTCAAATGGGGCAGTTAAATTCTAAATGCTAAATACGCAATACCACATTATAAAAAAAAACAGAAACATAAAAGAGTGACGGCAGAAAAAGAGACGGAGTGGTCCACCAAGTCTTATGTTTAGGTCTAAGAAGCAGATGATTCATCCCTTTGACATCTAACCAAAACTGAAATGCCAAAGTTATCCCGGCATGCAGCAGCAGCAACGTTGCCTTCACAAGAGATTGTGTATTATCTCATTATCCAATCCCCCGGATCCCCACAGTGACCCTGTTGTATTCTTTATGACTCAGAAAATGTTTTCTCATATAGCTGAAAGCATCACTGTCACCTCTACTGCAGTCAAATGCTGACCGACCTGAATGGGTAAAGCTTCCAAGTTCATTTTAGGTATAGAGATTGCCGCCTTACTCCTACTTCTATTATCCATGGAGATTGGGGGGGGGGGGGGGGGCAGAAGAGCATTATGTGAA